CTGCAAATAGATCCATATCTATCATCATGCACAAAACTCAAGTTCAAATAAATCAAAGACCTCAACATAAATCCAGTTACACTGAACCTGTTAGAAGACAAAGTGGGAAGTAGCCCTGAATGCATTGGCACAGGAGACCACTACCTAAATATAACACCAATAGCACAGACACTGAGAGCAACAATTAATAAATGGGACCTCCTGAAACTGAGAAGCTTCTGTAAGGCAAAGGATATGGTCAATAAGACAAAATGACAGCCTACAGAATGGAAAAAGATCTTTACCAACCCCATATCTGACAGAGGGCTAGTATCCAAAATTTATAAAGAACTCAAGAAACTAGACACGAAGATACCAAATAATCCAACTAAAAAAATGGGGCACAGATCTAAACAGAGAATTCTCAACAGAAGAATCTCAAATGGCCGAAAGACATTTAAGGAACTGCTCAACATCCTTACTCATCAGGGAAATACAAATCAAAATGACTCTGAGATTCCATTTTACACTTGTCAGAATGGCTAAGATCAAAAACACTACAGCAGCCTATGTTGGACAGAATGTGGAGCAAGGGGAACACTCCTCCACTATTGGTGGGAACGCAAATTTGTACAGCCACTTTGGAAATCAGTATGCTGGTTTCTCAGAAAATTGGGAATCAATCAACCTTAAGACCCAGCAGTACAGCACTCTTAGGCACATACCCAAGGGATGCTCAACCACACTATAAGGACACTTGCTCAACTATGTTCATAACAGCATTATTTGCAACAGCCAGAACATGGAAACAACTTAGATGCCCTTCAACTGAAGAATGGATAAAGAAAATGTGATACATTTACACAATGAAGAATTACTCAGTGGTAAAAAACAATGACATCATGAAATTTTTAGACAAATGGATGGAACTAGAAAAAAAAAATCATCCCTAGTGAGGTAATCCAGACACAGAAAGACAAACATGGTCTCACTCACAAGTGGATATTAGATATAAAGGAAAAGATAACCAGGCTACAACCCACAACCCTAGCGAAGTTACATAAAGAGGAAGACCCGGGAAGGGGAAATGGTTAAGATCTCCTGGGTACACTGGAGGGGAATTGAGGGGAGGGGAGGGGGTGTGGAAACATGAGGGATCAAGATGGCCAAATTGGGGGAGGGATGGAGAGGGAGAGCAATGGAAGAGATATCTTGATAGAGAGCGCAATTATGGGGTTAGGGAGAAACCTGGTATCAGGGAAATCCCCAGGAACCCACAAGGATGATCCCAGCCGAGACTCCTAGCAACGGTGGAGAGGGTACCTGAAATAGCCTTCCCCTCTAATCAGATTGGTGACTACCCTAATTGTCACCATAGAACCTACATCCAGTAACTGGTGGAAGCAAATGCAGAGACCCACAGCCAAGCACTTGGCCGAGCTCCTGGAGTTCAGTTGAAGAAAGGGAGGAGGGATTATACCGTGGGAGGTCAAGACCATGATAGGAAAAACCACAGAGACAGGTGACCCGAGCTAGTGGGAGCTCAAAGACTTTGGACTGACAGCTGTGGAGCCTGCATGGGACTGAACTAGGCCCTGAATTTGGGTGACAGTTGTGTAGCTTGATCTGTTTTTGCAGCCCCCGGCAGTGAGACCAGGACTTATCCCTGGTACATGAACTGGCTTCTTAGAAGCCCAATCCCTATGGTAGGATGCCTTGCTCAGCCTTGATGCAGAGGGGAGGGGCTGGCACTGCCCCATATTGGTATGCCAGCCTGTGTTGACTACCCAAGGCAGGCCTTACCCCCTATGAGAAATGGATGGTGGGGGTGGGGCTGGGGGGGAAGGGGAGCAGGAGAAAGGGAGGGAGAGGGAACTGTGGTTGGTATGTAAAATCAAAAAAATTTTAAATAAAAAGAACACTGAGAAATAACTGGTATAACAGCGCTCTCAGATGGTACTCACAGCAACCGTGGCAGCCTTCATTCTATGTAGAGCCAAGGCTTAGCAGGCCCCATGTCAGAAAGTATCCAGGCACCAAGTTGTGATTAAGTTATTCTTGTTCACAACCAATGTTAGGGTCAACATATCAAATTCTGAGTATCTTTTGGTGTCATTTGATAAATCAGTGTGTGTTCAGAGTATAATACTGGTCCCAGATCTTTAACTAATAAGTTGTGGGGTCCTGGAGAAGCCAAAACTAAGTGTTATGAGTGTGTGCTTCCTAAGCCACACAAGGGAAATAGGAAATGATCTCTGCTGAATATCCTATTTGAGTCATGTCCCATGATACAGTTTAAAAATAAATTTTGGCAACAAACTGGCAAGACTGATATTCTTGTCTTATTTCACTGAGGACACTCCCAGGCAGGCAGGGCTACGAGCAGAGCCTGGAGCAGGTTCTTGTTTCTCAGGTACACCCTACCTCTCCCCAGTGCCTCTTGCCAGTGTGTGTATGGGCTGCCCTCCAAGTCCAGCCCGCACTTAAGCTGTCCACACGTTTTCAGGCACATAGATTAGGTTCCTTGGAAAGTCCCTTTATAACCTTTCTTTCAGCCAAGCAACTCTGAGAATGGTTGTTATCATATCAAATACATTCTGTCACCTGCTCTTTGAACTTAATCCATGTTAATGAAAAAAAAGCATTTTAATCTTCATAGACTGCATTGCTGTAACACAGTCAGTCTCTTACTAATAGATATTTCAGTCATCCCAATTTTGATCTTCTTTTTAATTAGAAATTAAAAAAACCATCATATGAAAGAATACTAGAGGAATTAAAATAACACTTGCACAAGTAGGTATCTTTCTTCAGTTGAAGAATCACTTCCACCAGAAGCAAGCAGTGTCACTTTGCATCGATGCTGAAAGGCATCAGTGGCCCTGGGGAAGGCAGTTCTTCCCAGCATGCTTCAACCCCACTTTGAAAATGCAACCATGCTATTGGAATGGGGAAGTAAGCTGAGAGCTACATGAAGGGGTTCTGTCTGATAGTGAAATGCGCACACAAAACCAATCTGCTCTTGCTGTTCACTGGACATTCACAGCTGGTATAAGCCGTTCTTTCCATTTTAATGAAGCTGTTGTCCTCTCCTCTGCCTTGAGGAATGCTCTGTTAGCACCAACTGAAAGACCAGGATCGGAGCAGAGGCTGTTTGGACATCTCGCGGCTTCAGTAAAACTGCTTCACAAGCTGCTGTGTGTAGCAGACAACTGGAAACTTACTAGAACAATCTTTTTTTTTCAAGTTTTGGTAAATCTTTCTCCCAAGCATTTCTTTGCTCAAAACCCAAATAATAAAAAGATCACTGACTCAAGTAGCTAAGAAACAGAAAATACACATACAGTGACACTTTAAAATTAAATTATATTTAAATAACAAAAATTAATCATATAACACATTATTTGTATATAAACTATCTCATAAGTGCTTTTTATTTTTGTGCATATGTGTAATATGCAAATGTGGGTATTATTTATGTGTGTGTATGTGCATGTGAAGGTCAAGGACAACGCTCCAGTATGTCCTTGCCTTTCTACCTTGTGTGAGATGGAGTCTCTTTCCAGCTGCTTTTGACAGGCCAGCTGGCCCACAGGCTTCTTGTGATTCCCCCGTCTCTGTCCTCCTTTTCTCCATGGGAGTACCATTGGGAATATGGAGGCTTCTGTTAACACGCACATTTTCTTTTAATGTGGGGTCTGGGGATCCAAACTGAGGTGACTGGCCTTGCGGAGCAAATGCTTCACACACTGAGCCTCTCCTCCCCACTGCTTCTTCACGATGCATTTTTGAGTATGATCATATTAAGATAACCCAAGAGTCCTGTAAATCTAGTCCCATAGGCACTTTTAAAATAATAAAGAGGAGCCAGACACTCCTGGGCTGCTGTTTTGCGTGGGCCAGGCTTCAGCCTCCCTGTGGACCATCTACCAGGATCTTTTCCCTTGCTTCTTCTTCATCACCTTTTCCCCAACAGAGGCTTGAAAAGAGAAACGAGGTTTAGGTAGGCCAAGGCCTGGCCATTTGCTTCATGAGGCAAGGAATTCAAGCCAGTCACTTACACCGGTATCTTTCCACATCTTAAGACAGTGTAAAGATGTTATTACTCATCATGGTTTAGACTAATTTAAGTGACAGCTACTTTGGTCACCTGTAATAGACTCTCAACCTCACAGGCTTCAGAGACTGCTTCATGGGGTCTGAAGGTGGAGAGTTCATCTCCAGGGCAGACTCCAAGGATGGGTTACACTCAAGGGAACTGCTGGTGGGAGGAGGCCTTGTTGAACACCCTCTGGTTTCCCTCAGAGATGTGTGTGTGTGTGTGTGTGTGTGTGTGTGTGTGTGTGTGCATGCCCAAGTGTATCCTGACTTCTTATAATACCTGGTGGTGCTGACAATTTGCCACGTGACCCTAGAGCAGCACACTACAAACAGGCTGAGAACAAGTAACAACACCCACAACAGAGGCTTCTGCACAAGCAGCACATGGTTACTGCAGTCATACAAACTGCCTCAGCAGACAAGTTGAGTATTAATCCTAGGACCTTTACAAACGGAGCAATACCAGAAGACCCCCTGATACGGCACATTTATAACTCATATGTAATCAGAACTTTACTTAGGACATTTCTAGTTTTCAGATCAAACTACAGAAAGCATCATCAAGTTAAGCACTGCCTGAGTGACTGTAAACTGGTGGCCTCAGCAATGTAGCTGATTGATTTCAGAAGCTCAACCACGAAGGCACTGTGGCAGTCAGAAGGTGAAAGACACATCTGTCTTCCTTCAATTTGAATTCCTGCTCTGCTTATTTGTGATGAACTCTGGGGACATTTTACTTTATGTGCCTCTTTCTTCAACAGTGCAATGTGGGTAGTGACAATACTTCTACCACAGGGCTTTTTGTGAGAAGCAAATGAGAAGATTCATGCAACAAGAGCTTACTATGTGCCTAGCACACAGTAGTGCCCCTGTCACTGATCTGATCATCATTATTCCAAAGGCTAATGTAGTTCACTCACCAAGGTGCATGTCCATGACCTTAGCACAGTACTTGCACATGGCATCTAGGTCATTCAACTGTCCTTGTAGGAAGGAAATCTGGGCTTCCAATTCTTCTTCCTAAAACAAAAGAGATAAAAATTAAAAAAAATTGCAAAGTACTTCATGTGATCCTAAGTTTTTGTTGTTGTTGTTTTGTTTTGAAATGTGGTCTTACTTTGTAGCCCTGGATAGCAAGGAACTCTCTATGTAGACCAGAGTGGCCTTAACACCACCTGCCTCTCCTTCCTAAGTTTGAGGATTCAAAGCATTTGCTACCACACCCAGCCTCCATCTATAGACAAAACTAAAGGAAAACAAACAAACAAACAAACAAACAAACAAAAAAACCAAGCCTACTCCTACCGTCACTAACAGAAACAGAGACAAGCCTCACCCCATGCCCCCAAACCACACATTCTTAATTGAATTCTAGTTTTGGCTATCTGTAAACAAAACATGCAAACTTTGCATAAACATACATAAAATATTTTTTATTTCATACAATATATTTTCATCATGTTTTCCCCTCCCCCAGCTTTTTCTGGCTCCTTTCCACCTCCCTACTTGTAAATTTATGTTCTCTCTGCTTCTTTTTCAAAAGACAAAAAAAAAAAAAAAAATGAAAATCAAAAGAAGCAAACAAGAAAACCAGTAAGTCATAAATGCCAAAACAAGATAAAACAGAAAGCCTACAACAATATAAAACACGGAGTTCATTTTGTGTTGGCCAACTAATATCTTTAAAAATATGGAACAATAAAAAGTAAAAAGGGAAACTCGGCTTCACTAGCCTATACTTCCTAGGCAATTCTATTTTTCTTCACACACACACAAACACTAGAGAAACCAAAGGCCTCTGTTTGTACCAGAAATCTCATCATTGTCTAGACAATGATAATCTCTTAAAATGCAAGCTTTCCCAGCAGCTGGTAAGTAGCTATTCTTACATTTCCTCTCTTGATACGGAGCTGGGGTATTTTATTTGTTTCTAGAGAAGGGTGCTCTGGATTGAGTCATTAAACTGCACAAACAACTTAACTAGAACATAAAGATAAAGTTTTTTTTTTTTTTTTAAGGAGAAATTAAACATGTGAAAAATTTCCCAGAGAAATTTCTAGGATTCTGGGAGTTTTTCTCAGAGAAAGGGAATAATTCTTATACTTTGGGCTCTTTTAGCCAAGACAGCTAGAACAGAAAAGAAAGGGTGTTGCCAGGGCTGGCAGAGGTAAAAATGAATCTTCCAGTCTTAGATGCTTTTCATCTTCTATAAAATTCCTCTGTGCCACTAACAAAAAGGGAAGAGAAACCTACTGAGGCATTTCTTTTCTCTTTTAAAGAGAGTAATTATAATTTGACTGGTAGGGTGGAAATTCATAGTTGAAAAGGTCTCCTGTAGGTGTACTCCTGTACTGCGTTTGGAAGACACATGTAAAAGCACTGAAAAGCACTGATTTGAACTGCAACCTCAAGAGGTCTTAGGAACATGCACTGAGATGTTTGACACAAAGCCAGACATAGCGTGTCAAAAAGTGAACTGTGAAATGTCTACTGTAGGATTATACAAGCATTTCCCATGTCCATTACGTATCCTACGAAGTTCAACAGCTCTCCCTGCCCTCCACCAAGGACAGATGGTACCGGAAGCTCAGCCAGAGGATGCCAGCAGAGGGTAGGAGGAATGACCTATCCAATTCCACCTGGGTGTCAAGGTGAAGACGAGGGGCCGTCTCAGGCTTCTTCTCTCTCCCTTTCTGTCTCTTCCCACAGGCCTGAACCTTCCTGTTCTGTGAGATCACTAGGGGCATTAAAGAAGGATGCTGTGTTTCTTGGTCTGTGACAGTTGTAGTCAGTCTGTAGAGATGGCACCACATACCCTTCTCTCTGAATGTACACATGGCCTCACTTATTAGCTTGCAAGAATCCCTCTCCACCTCTTGGATCTACACTGGCCACACTAGCCTTGATATGGAGACTGCAGGAAGTCAAACTATGTCAAGTTGGGGCAAGTTTAAGAAGCCTGGCAAATTTTGCCTTCCCTAAAGGGAGGTTCATGGTGGCTACTCAGGCTAGAACATTCAAGAAAGAGTCGGGGAGGAGTAAAGGCCATGAGAGAAAATGTGAGACTCTGGACATGTTAAAATGCCTTTCTGATATCTTTTAGTCCATCACTGCTGTAGCCAGGCATGCGAGAGACTCAGTTAATAGTACATGCAGCAAAGCACAGTCTCGTGAGCACCGTCCAAGTTCCTAACCACACACCAAACACAAAAAGGGAGCCCTGTGGTACTGTATCTTGGATCTGTTCCTTATGCAGTGATAGATGGCTGAATGTGGGAGAGTGGTTAAGAGAGAAACTCACATATGACACCAAGAATCTATTCCTGTCTTGTCATTGATAAGTCATATGGCCTTCAAACATTTCCCTCTCCAGCTCTGGTGGAAACTTGGTCATCTGGAGGATGGAAATTCCAACTTTGCTTCCAAGGCACTTAACAACAGGTAATGAGCTGGATTATGCAAATGCACCATGCGGCAGAGTGCACAAGTCATCTCATGAAACGAGACACATCCCTGGGAATCTTGGCCCAGCCTCATGTCCCTCCGTTGAGTCATCTTTCAGTTATAGACACAAACCCAACCAGAATCTAGATCTGGACCACAGCTAGAGTTTGGTTGTGGCTAGTAGCTGGGGTGCTCATAGCCCAGGGTATACAGAAAGCACCAGAAAAGAGAAGCTTCCTGGTGTAAAACCATCGGTGTACTCTAGGCAATAGTTTAATTGAGAGTAGCAACCACGCCAGTTAAAACACAAAAGCCCCTGGGAACTTTTGTCCTCAGGAGACACAGCATCTTATTCTACTTGGTAGGCTTGCTTTTGCAAAGTCTGGAGGGAAGAACTTCAGAGGACACATTTAAAGGAGGGAGGGATGGCCTTCTGGATTGAGGCACTGGCCAGCTAGAGAAGTGTCTGCAGCTCAAAGGACCTCTTCCTCCACAGCCTGCTGCTCAGTAAAGCTAGACACTGCCGCTATGTGATGGAGGCCATGGGCAGTACAGGGTTTGCACCAGGTGGGGCGGCCCTGGGCATGTGGCTGCCAAATTTAGAAGGGTAAGAAACCACACATTTCCAAGTTTTCGTTTTCATGCCTAGAACACAACTGAATCTCAATACAGAAAGAATCTGTCTCCACACAAACACTGTGGAAAAGGGTTCGTTCATTCGTTCATTCATTCATTCATTCATTCATTCATTCATTCATCAAACCTTCTTTTCAAGGGAAAACATACTGAGATCAAAGAGGGCCCTGTTGAGCAGATGCAAAGGGCTAAGAACCTCTTATATTTGGCAGTTTGAAATGCAGTTTGGCATCCCTGTTGAGGCTGCTGAATCTGAAAAAACTCTTAAACCCTTCAGCTATCACTCAGGGTTTATAAATAGAAATGGGATCACATGGAAACAAAGGGTGGTTTCCGTTTATTCTTCATCATATTATATAATTACAATTCTAAAACCGTCAGCACCTACTTTAAATCTCCATCTTAGTGTCTCGTGCTGTGCACTCCTTCCAGCAAATAACACTCTCCACAGTGACAGCTCCAGTCACTTGCTCTCATTAAACTGGCCCTCTGGAATAAAAAAGGAATGCTTGCCTAATCACCCCGAGAACTATTCAATGGCCCTGAAAAGACATGATTATTGTGGTTACCCTAGCATGAATGTTCGAGGAAGGAGTACAGTGGAGTCATGATGGACTCCTGGAGCAGATATTCCTGGGTTCAAAACCCATTATTGCCAGTTACTAGCTGAGTAACTTTGGACAAATTCTTTAATTTCTTGATCTTTACACCTCTATCTGCCAGAAATGGAACTTCTTCCTTGAGTACAAACTCACTCTTATGTTCTATGGCCAACAAACATCTCAGCTCCCTTTAACAGAGATTTACCAACTATATGAAGAGTCTTAGCTTCTAGTTTCTTAACTAAATATTTCCTTGCAAAACCATTTAGAAATGTTTTAGAATTGTGGAACATTTCAAATCCCAACACCTGGAAGGCTGAGGCAGGAAGACTGCTGGGAGTCCAGGGCCAGCCTGGGCTACATAGTGAGGCTCTATTGAAAGGAGAACAGGCATTTCTATGGGGTCATTAAATCTGTCAGATAGTATGCAACTTGGTTGTTTATATAAAGTACATCCTTCATATATTAGTTTTATTAAATGCTTCAATATCTTTTTGATATTTCATATTTATTTTAGCAGAATAAGATTTTATAGTTTATTATTTATTCACTTATTTATTGACTAGTTTAATAAATACATTCATTTTCATTGTGTTAAGCCTTGTGGGAAATATCATAATAACAGATGAGATGTGGGCCCTGGTGCCTATGATTTTAGAGGAAGACATGTTGTTCTGTAGGTTCTTAAAGCCAAGAAATGAGCAGATGATGATCCGAAGGGCTCCTCACAGGCCAGGAGAGAGGAGACAACGTCTAATAGTAGATGTGGAGATGAAAGCATGTTTTCTGGATGAAACAATTTGGAGGGTATTGAAAGAGAAGGACTCAGAAGAAATGATGGAAAAGTATGTTTCAGGAAGCAAGGGCCCAGTCACAAGGCGATGAGAGAGAGAGAGAAAGAGAGAGAGAGAGAGAGAGAGAGAGAGAGAGAGAGAGAGAGAGAGAGAATGAGAATGAATGTGTGTGAGTGTGAGTGTGCATGCAGGTGAGTGGTAGGTGAGCAAAGGAACCAGTAACAAAGCCAGATCAGGGTACTGGGAGGAGCAGGAGCTACAGATGAGCAGAAAGCCTTCTCTTCCATCTTCCTTCCATGACTGTGTTCGGAGCTGGGGTCTGACATGCAGGGTGCTGCACCCACCATCCCTAAGAGACTGTGTTGAAGATCATTCACACTGCAGCGATGTCTGTCAGTCCTAAGGCAAAGGGAGGCAGGAAGGGCCCCGGGGTGGAGTTCTGTTCAGCTTCTAAGAGTGTCCTTAGATCACAAGACAAGCAGGCAAGGAAGTCAACACTGACAGCAGAGTAGGAATCAGCCAAGAATAGCAACTGGAAGACAGG